CCATTGGCTTTACTGTTGCTGCTGTGGGCCTATAAGTCATTCTCAATTTATGGTAACTCTAAGGCAACCCTATCACCAGGTTTTCTTGGCAAGATTGGTTCAGGGCGGAGGGTTGCTTTTGCCTACCCCTGAGGCTGAGAGCATTAGTCATTAGGCTATTAGTCATTAGGCATTAGGCCAGGGGTAGGCAACCTAAGGCCCAGGGGCCGGATGTGGCCCCCCTGAGGCCTTTGGACTGGCCCCAGGCCGGTCCTGCCGCCGCCGCCGCCTGCCATGATGATATTGATTATTGTTGTTATTACTTGTTCTTGGGGTTTTCTTGGCAAAATCTCCACAGGGGTTTTGCCATAGCTTTTCTGGGGCTGAGAGAGAGTGCATGCATATTTTTTTTAGATTTCTTTTTAAATTAAATTTTTTATTTTATTTTTATTTTTTAATTGTTTTATTTTTGGTGCTTCGGCCCCCCCAATTGTCTGAGGGACATCTCAAAAAGGTTGCCTACCCCTGCATTAGGCTATTAGTCCATTTCTGGGCAGAATTCAAAGTGCTCATAATGACTTCAGGACCTTGGGACCAGACTATCTGAAAGACTATCTCCCAATATGAGTCAGCCTGAATTTTAAAATCTTCAGAGGAAGGGTTTGTCTCAGTTCCCCCACCATCACTGACACGTTTGGTGAGGACATGAAAGGCTCCCTCTCAGTGGCGGCTCTGAGGCTATGGAACTCCCTTCCACAGGAGATTTGGTTGTCCTCCTGTCTGCTGTCTTTTTTTACCAGCAGGCAAATATCTTTTTATTTAGGCAGGCTTTTGATTGTTAAACCATCTGACAGAATGGTATTTTGAAATTGGTGTCTGTTCCTCTATCTTTTACAGTAGGCCCTTGGTATTCGCTGGGGTTCAGTTTCAGGACTCCCCATGGATACCAAAATCCATAGATGTTCAAGTCCCATTAAATACAATGGCTAACAAATTTATATCCCTTATATAAAATGGCAAAACAAAATCAAGGTTTGCTTTTTGGACTTTATATATTTTAAACCTATTTTCAAGCTGTGGATGCTTGAATCTGAAAATAAAGAATGCATGAATATGGAGGGCCAACTATATTTTTTTAATTGTGTTTTTAATGGGTTTAAATATTTTAACTTTTTGGAAATAGAAGTTGCTATTTGATCAGTGTGTTGTTGTTTTTTTACTTTTGCAAATGCAATTTTAGCTGGACTATGCTTTCATTTTGTTGTAAGTCACTAAGGGACCTTTGTCAGGAGAAAAGCCAGGTATAAATTAAATAAATAAGGTTTGAGGAGATAACGGCTGTGTATACACAACCAGGGTTGTGTGTGTGAAGCCCTGAAAATTAAACTAAATAACATCAATCATTGATGCAGTTGTCCTCCTTTTCCTGCCAAACACTGATGAAATTGTTAAACAGTTGCAAAACAGCTGATCAGTGATATTATTTGGCACTATTACGAAGAACAAGCAGTATTCACTGATTTCCATGAACACACATATTTTCTAGCACACTTCAAAACGCAATATAGACTATAATCTTCAGTTATTTAGGGGGATGTAAATATATTCCACATGTCCTTAGGATGTTAATTGTTTTTAATATGGAATTTTAAAATTCTTTTAAATCTGTTTTTAAATAGAATGCATTTTACTTATTTTATTTATTAAAATATTTCTACCCCACTCTATATCCAAAATAATCTCAGGACAGCTAACAAATAACATCAAAACAAATTAAACAGTTTAAGACAATAACAATAATTTAAATAAGCTAAAGACATATTAAACATAATAATGAGTTAAAAACAGATTTAAAAGATTAAAAAGTTTTTAAAAGTAGTTGGGATGAATGAATTAGTCAGGCACAAAGGCCTCAATAAAAACTGCCAGGTTTTCATCTGATGGTGGTGGCTGTTGTTGTGTGCCTTCAAGTTATTTTGAACTTATGGCAACCCTAAGCTGAACCTATTGGTTTTTCTTGGCACATTTCTTCAGAGGGGGGTTTCCATTGTCATCCACTGAAGCTGAGAGAGTGTGATTTGCCCAGGGTCACCCAGTAGGTTTCCATGGTAGAGCATGGATTCAAACCCTGGTCTCCAGAGTCCTAGTCCAATGCTCAACTACTACAAGATGGGACTCAGTTGAAATGAGTGTTGGTGCCACAGC